AAGTGTGTCAAAAACCATTACAGAACATCATGAATAGATAATTAAGTGACCAAACTAATAGAAGTTCATCATCACATTAAAACCAAAGTATATACATAGTTCTCATCTAACAACATATAGCTCTCCAGAGCATCTAATTAATTAAACCATACATTGAAACTATGTAAAACATTTCAATACCAAAACAAATGCGATCATAATCGCAACCAAGGTAACAATTGATTCAACGGCATAATGATACCAAACCTCGGTATGAATGGCATATTTTCTAATTTTCTAATCTTCAAGCGCATTGCATCAATCTTCTTCTTGTGATCATCGACGACATCCGCAACATGCAACTCCACTATCATCTTCTCCTCCTCAATTTTTTTAGTTTTTCCTTCAAGAAATTGTTTTCTTCTTCAACTAAATTTAACCTCTCGACAATAGGGTCGGTTGGAATTTCCGGTTCACATACCTCCTAGATAAATAAAATCTATGTCACGTTGGTCCGCATAATTGTCATAAACAATAAATGAACCAAATAGTTATAAAGATAATATATACCACATCCGAATCATAGACATGACGAGGGCCGACGGGGGCGGATACCAAAACCATCACACTAAATAATAAGAAGCAATAATAAAAGTAAGAAAATTATACAAGTATCTATATAAACATACAAGTAAGAATTTTTTCCTTTCAGAAAGAGCTAAGAACAAGAGACTCACCACGGTGGTGTCGGCGACGAGATCGGCGCGGGCGATCGACAGCGGTGAAGACGGGGACGGGACGTGACAAACCGCTAAACCTAGAGAAATATTGAGGAAAATTGAGCTTGGAGGTCGAGCTTGGAGAGGAGAAAGGTTAAGTAGTGTGGCTCGAGCATTCCATCGAACACCTGGTGTGCATATGAGGTGAGCTAGAGCACCACAAAGCTCCCACCCCACCGGCCAGGAAAAACAGAGCACTGGGGAGTGCTCTGCTCGCGGGTGAGGGGTATATATAGGCAAAGCAATGGTCATGGTTCGTGGCATGAACCGGGACTAAAGGTCGCCCTTTCGTACCGGTTCATACCACGAACCGGGTCCAATGTAGGTGGGACAGGAGCGAGGACCATTAGTCCCGGTTGGTGCCACCAACCAGGACCAAATGTCCCAGACGAACCGGGACCAATGCCCCACGAGGCCCGGCAGGCCCCTGGCCTCACGAACCGGGACCAATGGGCCCATGGGTACCGGTTCGTGACAGAACCGGGACTAATGGGCTAGCTAGGCCCAAACGTATGCCCTATTTTCTATTAGTGGCCTAGTGCACGATCAATCAATTAACGATGCACCAAATCATTCTCTACACAACCACATCGCTACTATATCTTTTCTGTTTTCAATCAGTGCTATCAGACTAGTCTGAAAGTTATAATCTTCATGTGGTTTCTTCGAAGGAGAATTGTGCTAACCAAAAACAACCTCACCCGTCGCAAATGGCAAGGAAGAAAAAAGTGTTTGTACTCGTGACAAGACAATCAAACACATCTTTTTCCAATGCAAATTTGCAGGTTCTACGTGTTCAGTCATCCAAATAGCGTCGAATTTGTATTCGCCCACAAGTGTTGCCAATATTTTTGGTCATTGGTTGGACGGACTTCCAAATAGTTTCAGACCGCTAATACAGATGGGAGCACATGCCTTATTATGGGCGATTTAGCTATGTAGAAATGATTTAGTTTTTGACGGCAAAAACACCTCTCCCTTGCTGATTATTTTTTGTTGTACGCACTCGCTTCATACGTGGTCTACGCTAAATTAAACAGAGTACCAACCATTGTTCAAGGTGGTGTGTATGAGGTTGGAGCAGATGGTCAGGGAGGTCTTTACCCAGCATGGGTGGCAACATAACCTCTAGATTGGTCCACCACCTCCTTCGACATTGGCATAGTATCGCTCCTATATGATTCTACGGTTGCTGATATGTCGGAATTTTTATCTTGTTTCACTTTGCTAATGTTTGGCTGTGTGCATCTTAGTCATGCAAAGGCTGGGTGTTGCTCATTGTGCTATGTATTTGCTTGATGCTATATTACAAGTCAATAAAAATGTCCTTTATCCAAAAATACTACCTGAAAAGAGGACTCCAAGGCAATGACGTCGGCTATATCTACAACATCTTAACTTGATATTATATTAAATTGCACCTACAAAGCACCTTTAGGAATTTAATTGAAGAAAAAAACTTTAAAAGAGTTAAATGTATCCATACAAATAACTTTGAGTAGTATTGGACATTCACTGATACAAATTTATACCCATTTCTGGGGAAGCGGCAACTGAAGTGCAGTTGATTTGGTATACGAAATGTCTAGACAAATTCACACTAAACGGTCATGAAGGATATATGGAAACCTAAGGAGATGTTTCATACAAATCCTGCTCCGCAAGAATGGCAAAGGCGATTGAAACACCAGTCCTCTCCTCTTTTCCTTATCTCCCAACCCCAAACTACTAAGGAGAAAAAGATTGATATGATATTTATAACATTAAATAAAATTATAAAACTATGCATAACATTTTCTTATGTTTGTGTCACGTAAAAAAGAGGACAATAATGTTCAAAATAGTAAAATATTAAGTAAATTGTTTACATGAGCTAACTAGAGATTTTGTCCTGAAAACTCTATTTGCAGTTGCCTGACCACAAAATAGACTATACTATTTAAAAAAAAATATGTACCATATGTATGGACTAGAGCAGGTTTCCCCTATAAGGGTCTCTTTGACTCACAGAAATGCAAACATGTATCAATAGGAAAAACACCTGATCGAAATTCCATGCCCATTGGCATCCTACATGAATTGAATTTGTTTGATTGTATCATACAGGAAACAACAAATGGGTGATCTATTTTTTCTGTGTTGAACAACGGGCGATCTCGGCACCATGATGACGTGGCCGAAATTCAAGAGGACATATCTTGTTCGGTCCTCGGCGTTTGGTGCTTATTTTGCTGTGTACAACAACATCCCTACGATCATTTTTTTTATCAGTGCAATTAGGACCCCTATTGGGGGGAAATGTATCTAAAGTCTGGCAATGGCAACTGATCTCAAAAGCGGATCCCAAGGCAATGACATCAGCTATATCTACAACATCTCAACTTGATATTGTATTAAATTGCACGTACAAAGCACCTTGAGACATGCAATAGAAGAAAACAACTTTTAGTGAGTTTTGTGTATCAGTATGAATAACTTTGATTAGTACAGGTCATTCATTGATTCACATTTATAGCCAATTGTAGGGAAGCGGCAAACTCAGTTGGTTCAGTATATAGAATTTTTTGGCAATTTCGCACTAATAGGTCACTAGTGATATAAGGAACCCTAAGGAAATGTTTCATAGGCCTTCCATCCTACTCGAAAAGAATGACAAAGGTGATCCAAAAAATAGTCCTCTCCTCTTCTCCTTATCTCCCACCCCCAAAATATACAGGACAAAAAGATTGAGATGATATTTGCAGCATTTAATAAAATTATATAACTATGCCATAGCATTTTCTTATGTTTGTGTCGTGTCAAAACGGTATTTAATGTTCAAAATAGTAAAATATTGAGTAAATTGTTTAAATGAGCTAAATAATAATATTCTCCTAAAAACACTAATGGCAGTCACTTGACGGCAAATATGAAGTGAAAAAGAGACTATTCTTAGACATTTTAAAAAACTATTTTGTATGTATGTAAAAAATATCTTTTACGTATAAGGGACACTTAGATTCACATAATTGCAAACACGTATGAATAGGGAAAACACATGACTGGAATTTCATGCCCATTCTAATCCGCCATGGATTGCATTCGTTTGATTGCATTATAGGTAAAACACATGATTTCTCCAAGAGGTTAGAGTGGATACTGGAATTCCTATGAAATATAGTACAAATGATTCCTTTTTAACGGTTAAAATAGTAGGGAAAACCTATTGCTTCAGAAGATACATTAGTATGCTTGTTGACTCGGTACGTAGACCATGTTCCATTAGGTTCTTTCCGTGCAAGCACCATGTTTCACCTATCATGCAAATTCAGAAGCTCTGTTTGGGCTAGCTGCTAGGTCATTTTATGACACCCTTTTCTGGGTAGAATCCCACCTCACTTCGACTAGGTGTCTTTTGTTGTCACTATTTTGTCCAAAGGAACCTTGGGAAGAGAATTGATTTTTTGCTCTCAGGCTCCATGAAGCCTAAAATTTTATATACTGAATGTGTGTGAATTTTTGAAGTTTCCAACAAAAAATCTGAAAAATACACAACTATTTATAGATGCATACTGGATGTGTGTGAATTTCATCATGAAATACGTTTTTATGTGGCCTGTACAAAAAAAAACAAAATCATGTTTTATAGGGAATAGTACATGTGCTAGAAATATGTGACTTGTTATTTTTTATGTAGCTTGCATAAAACAGTATTTCCTCATGAAACTTCGCAGACAAGTTGTATACATCCATATGTATGTGTATTATTTTTTTGAGAGATTTTTGAAACTTAATATTTTGAATTAAATTTTCAAATAAAGGGCTCCATGGAGTTCGAACTCCGTTAGGCATTTCCGCCTGGGGAAGCCTTTTACTTTTCTCGAATACGGGAAGCCTTTTTTTTCGAGAATGCACCGGAAGTCTTTTAGTAGCTAGGGACCTATCTTCACTCTCATGGCAGCTCTCAAAATGCAACAAAGCCATCAGACGACGACTCCATACATAACCTGAAGCATCATCATACTATGCACAATCAAAACTAAGCTTACAGGTTAACTTCTAAATTTTTGTATGCGAAAAAAATGGGCAACCTAAATTACTCTTTGACAATTTCGTAAAATTGAAATATTGAATCTGGTAGCCGTCGGCATAGGGCATATAATTCCGCAATTGAAAGGGAGCTTGCCAATTGTACACCTGAACATCATTATTTAACACTCAGGATTCAATCACGCAACTGGCTCTCCGCCCCTAAATCTCCCATTACAATTCTTGTTCGTCTTGCAAAAAAGCTGACAAGACCGCAAAGCGAGGATCGGGATTCATCATGTACAGCGACTCAATGCCAAGGATGAGGTCCGTGGGCTTGTACCCTGTCAGCTCCGTGAATTCCCTGTTCCACTTTCGAACCTGGCTCGCCATTGGGTTCAAGATCAGCCTGGCGAGAAAGACCGCCGACGCCGCCACGGCCGATGGCATGAGCCGCAGACATCTGTAGTCCACCAGCGATTGTTCGGCGAGCTGATGCGCCAACTTCTGAACCTCCAGGTCGCTCTCTCCATTACTGTACCTGGTGAAGTGGTCCACAAAGGTGTAGGCCGTTGGTGCGCTGAGCTCGTACCTGAGCGCCGCCAACATCTTGCACTCCATGTCGATCACCTCCCTGCCGTTGGCGAACCCACAGTCGCCGGCAATTTGCGCGGCGTTCACCTTGAATATGGTGTCCCGTTCCTCATATTTGGCGGCGGTGAAGGCGGCCGTGGCTCCCAGGAGACGGAGCTCATACTCCATGTGAGCCGTAGGCAAGGTTTTTTCCGACAGGACGCGGTCGACGTAGGAGACGGCACGGTGAAGCGTGCCGGGGGCCAGGCCGTAGGACTGAGTAAACTCGTCCATCCAGATAACAAGGTTGGCGCGCATCGACGGGCTCATCAGATCCCCCTGCACCGTCTTCAGGTAGTGCGGCAACGGCGGCTCCTCGACGTTCATCTCCTGCTTGCGGAGGTTGAAGTCGAAATCGGCGTCGTAGTCGGAGAGCAGCGGACGCGTGGCCGAGTTGTTGGATTCGGTGGTATCAGAGACCGGGACAGCGCTCTCCAGGAGCAGGGATGGTACGGGCTCCTCCAAGGCCGCCTCGGAGTAGTGGTCGGCGGCTCGAAGCGCAGGAAGAGCATTGATGGCGCGGAGGTAGTCGTCGATGTCCGTCGTGTCGGCGCTGCTGCCTGATAAGGCGACGGGGATAGGGGGGCCAGAAAGAAGCTCGGAGGTGAAGGGATCCATTGCCGGGAAGGAGAATGGAGACACACGATGGTGGATGGAAGAATGCAGGGTGCGTGGCGTCGACCTAGCTATTTACTGAGGAACGCGACGTTGCGCCCGATTAACTGCATGACAACTGGAAACCGCGTGGGTCACTCACTGGGTCCAGTATTCCAACTTTACCTATGCGTTTCTTTCCTTTTTCTTTTTTCTTTATTTATTTCGTCGTTGTTTCTTTCCTTCTTAACAAGATCGTGTAGCCGCACAACAACGGGCGATCTGGGCGCCGCGCCATGATGACCTGGTTGAAATTAAGAGGACATACCTTGTTTGTTCTTGGCGTCTGGTGATTATTTTGCCGTGCACAGCGCATCGCTACGTAGTACATTTTGTTTTTCCATCAGTGCATTGAGACAGCTCTCAAAAGAGGACCCCTCATGCAATGACATCGGCTATATCTACAACATCTCAACATGATATTATATTAAATTGGAGTACAATGCATGCACCTTGAGACATTCGATAGAAGAAAACACTTCAAAAAAGTCAGAGCATCTCTAGCCGATACCTTAAAATTAAAACCCCCAAACTGCACCTTACACTTTCACTTCTTATATTTGCTCAGCTAAAAAAATGGTTCCTAGACGAGCCCCTAAAACTTAACTCCCCCAAAAAAACTCTTCGTCAAGTTTTCTAAGCTTGTGTGTATGGACTACATTTCAACTAGATATTTGCACACATAATAAATTCAAACTTAAGATCAAAGTTCGCACAATTCACGAATATTACAAATTTAAAGTTCACAATTAAAACTATTCAAATTCAAACACACGAAAGAGTCCAAATGATGTAAAAAGCATGATTGAAGCATATCAATCAACTGGTGTTATGGAGTAGCCACTAATGCTCAACAAGATCATCTTGGACCTAGGTCTAAACTTGCGGTTCTTGATGATTCGATGTGCTGGGAGAAATTTATGTATCATCTTTGCATCGTGTTCCGGCTCAAAGGGATCCACATTGGTGATGTACTAAAAATTCTCTGTCACACCTCTCTCATCTTCAATGATCATGTTATGCAACAAGATTATGCAACATGCCATTATTTCCCATTGGATCTGTGGGTTTCAATGCTCAGGAGGGCCATGAACAATGGCAAAGTGCTTCTGCAGCACACCAATAGGTCTCTGAACATCTTTTCCTTATCGACTCTTGATGCGTTGCAAAGTGTAATCTCTTATTGCCTTGAGGACGCGCGATTGTCTTCACAAATGTGGACATGGAAGGATAGAAGCCATGTGCAAGGTAGTAATCCATCGTGTACTGATGGCCCTTGATAACATAGTTACAAGAGGGGCATCTCCAGCAACAAGAGCGAACAGTGGTGATCTTGACAACACATTCAAATCCTATTGAGAGCCATGCAATCCAAATAATGAATGTCAAATCTATAGATCCTCTGATGCAACTAAGTCAAGAACGATTGTTGGATCTTTTGACTACCCTTTTGAGCCGACTTATCCAACCCATGGAACAATTATTCCATGTCCAGTGCATGCAATAAATTGATCCAAGCATAGGCCATCTTCTTCCTCCTCGTCTAAGGAAGATTCATCTAAGACCATCTCCCTAAAGCTCTTCATCTATAGTATGGAATACTCTAGATTGAACTTAATTGCAAAAATAGCTAAATAAAATGAAAACAGCTAAAAAAAGAGCACCTATGAAATTTGTCGAATACCTTGCAAGTGGGGATGGTGAGAGCATCGGCCGACCTATGTTCTCTTTTTTGTTAGTCAACATCATTCGAAAATAACTACAGGTTAGCATAATTTTTCAAGTTGTGAAAATATTCAAATGTAACACTAATTCAGATTTTAGTATTACAATCTGAACATTCAGATTTTAATATTAAAATATTCAAATGCAACACTAATGTCGAGTCCATGAATTATACGCACTCTCACCCTTCCACCATTGCTAGCCTCTTCGGTACCGTGCATTGCCCTTTCTCACCTTGAGAGTTGGTGCAAACTTCGCCGGTGCATCCAAACCCCGTGATATGATACGCTCTTTCACACACAAGCCACATTATGTCTTCCTCAAAACAGCCATCATACCTACCTATTATGGCATTTCCATAGCCATTCCGAGATATATTGCCATGCAACTTCCACCGTTCCGTTTTATTATGACACATACCATCATTGTCATATTGCTTTGCATGATCATATAGTTGGCATAGTATTTGTGGCTTGGTCACTGTTCATATTTTTTATACATATCACGCTAGATCATTGCACATCCCGGTACACCACCGGAGGCATTCATATAGAGTCGTATCTTTGTTCTAGTATCGAGTTATAACTCTAGAGTTGTAAGTAAATAAAAGTGTGATGATCATCATTATTAAAGCATTGTCCCATGTGAGGAAAGGATGGAGACTATTATTCCCCCACAAGTCGGGATGAGGCTCAGGACTTTAACAAATAAAAAGAGGCCAAAGAGACCAAAAAAAGACAAAGAGCCCAAGAAGAAAAAAAAGAAAAAATGTGAGAGAAAATGAGTGAAGGGACAACGTTACTATCCTTTTCCACATTTGTTCTTCAAAGTAGCACCATGTTCTTCATGATAGAGAGTCTCCTATTTTGTCACTTTCATATATTACTAGTGAAAATTTTCATTATAGAACTTGGCTTGTATATACCAAAGATGGGCTTCCAAAAATGCCCTAGGTCTTCATGAGCAAGCAAGTTGGATGCACACCCACTTAATTTTCTTTAGACTTTCATACACTTATAGCTCTAGTGATACGGAGCATCCCTCGACTACCCTCACCGACACTCCATCACCACCACAAGCACCAAGAGGGCCAATGACAAGAGCACATGCATGCAACGTCGAGAACGAGGTCACTTCCTTCCTATTTGAGCCTCGTTTGGGTTCGTGTGAGAATTGGATTCTACCATCATCGGAAACATTGTTCATCCTTAGGTACCAAGAAGATGATAGTGAGAAGGAGAGGACGGAGACTCGAGCGACCACGAAGCAAGGCAAAGAAGAGAAGAAGGAGAAGAAGCAAGGGACACAGCCCCTGCACACCCCGGGTGCCCGGCCTCCTTGGCCCCGGGTGCTCGGCCTCTGCCTAGGAGGTGCGCCAGCCGGCCCCGGGTGCCCGCCCCCCTCCTCCGGGCCTCAGCCAGCCCACCTCGGGTGCCCGGCCGGACCTGGGCCGCTCCAACACCACCACCGGGTGCCCGGGCCCTCAACCCCGGGTGCCCGGCCTGCCCCGCCCAGCCGCATGCGGCCATCCCGGGTGCCCCGGCCTTGGCTCCCTGGGTGCCCGGTCCGCCCCCCTCCGGAGCCCCTGACTGGTCCGGGTGCCCGGCCGGTTCCACCCGGGGTTCCCGGACTCCTCCTCCGTGGCCATGCGTTTTAGGGACTTTTTGGTCCCTTGTATCACTTTTTCCCCAAGTTCCGTCCCTAGGCTTTATATATTCATCCCCTAGCTCATTTGGAAGGTTAGCAAAGTATTAGATAAAACATTGTGAGCTTTGATCCTTGTATCCCATCCTCTTTGGAGATCAGGCCCCCACCTAGGGAAGAATCCTTTGGATTGTCAAGGCCTCCTCTTGGAGAAGATCATCATCAAGACCTCACCTAGTGGGAAGAACTTACCTAGTGCTATTTTCCTTGAATTATTCATGTAATCTTGTGGATCTCATGTATGCTACTCTAGTGGATGTGATATTTGGGTTTGTTTGAGTGTTTTGTTCCTTGTGTTCTTGAGTGTTCTTCCTCCTTTTCCCCCTCCAAGTGTGAAAAGATCCCGTGTTTGACCCTACAACATCTTGGTATCATGAGCAAGGTTTATTCACGTCTTGGAGTCCCATCCCCCCATTTGCTAGCTTGATTTTGTTCTTTTTCGTCCAAATTCGAAAATCCCCACAAAAATAGCCCCCAATTTTTTTCTTGCAATTTGTTGGATCTTGTGATATTTGGTTGTTTTGGTCCATGGATTCTATGTTTGGCAAGTGGATCTAGCCCCTCCCCAACAATCCCCACCCTTCCCACCACGAAATCCTCGGAATTCTGCATTTCCCCCAAAATTTCCGCCCAAACAGAAGACCCCCGAGTGCCCGCACCTCGAACCACCGGGCACCCGCACCACCGGGCCATTTCGCCCAGCTGACCCCGGGCACCCGCACCTCCCAACCCCGGGTGCCAGCACCCCCCCAAATCAGCCCAACACCTCCACCAATTTGGCCATAACTTCCACCTCCCAAGTCCGTTTTCCGTGTTCTTTAGCTCGTTTGGTAGCTCTTGACATCCCCCATCCACTCATCCCACTACCACCACCGTTAGACCCTATCCAAAAAATCATCACAAAAACACCCACCTTCCGCATTTGACCGATTTTGTGTTGCCATTTCCGTTTCCTAAGGTGTTTCGGCTACTTAGGAGCGTGTGACATCGTCATCACCATCACCGACTCGGAGCCATCTTCACCGCTAACCGTAAGAAAGGACGGTAAACTCGACGACACTTACTTCTTACCTTGCTTTTGCATTGATAGCCTGAGCCACTTTGCGTTGCTTATGCATCGAGACTAGCAAGTTGAGAATTGCCGGGCCACGCTTTTGTGCATCGTAGTGATCATGTTATCATCTTTGTGCCATAAGTCTCTCCCATGCATATCATATATACTTGTGTCATATCATACTCGGCTC